TGAAAAATCTGATAGAATGGACTACTATTTATAGCCAACATGTTGAGTTCAAAAGAAGAGGTGCAACTCTTCAGAGGTCAGTTATGACTATTCACGTAAAACGGCCATAACGTAAATGACCATTTACGCAAACTAAAACGGGAATTCGAACGCACAGGAAAATTAATTTGGATTTAATATTAATTTTTCGTTACAAAAACGGATATTTAATAATATTACGTTAATATTTACTATTAACAAATAAATTTGGTCCGAAAAATTAATTAATTAATCAATCATTTGACCAAATCCGAAGGCGAAGCCGGAGCCAAGCGACGGCGACGGCGCGAGACTTGCCTTCTTCTTAACTCTTTAAGAGCTAGAAGAAGAGGAATTGTATATATACCATAAAAAGCCTTTTTCTCCTCAAATATGGGACGGTGTCCCTTTGTCAAGGAGGAAAACTCAAATATTTCATTTCTCATCCATTTCACATTCACCCTCTTTAAGGTAAAATAAGCTTAAAACCCCAACAAACAACAAAACAAGAACCAATTTGACTACTTAGGCCTCCAACATTACACTAACTACATAATCTCCGAATCAAAAACTACTCCTACGAACTCTCTTAGATCCCTTTAGTAAGTCTCCACTCTCTATGGCTTTTCTTATCTTTGTACTGCTACAAATTACTATTTATAGTCCTCTATATATCTTCCAATTTCTAGCGATCTAGGTGTGATAAATCATAGCACCTCATACTACAACTATCACTTCTTGAATTGTCTCTAATATTGGGTTTTTATCCATTTTAAGCTCTCCAAACAATGGCTCTGTGTTTTGATTACATCATTGAGCTCCAGATCAAGTATGCTACTTGCAGTTTGGACTTTGGACATGTTGTATTTATTGTAATATAGCTTATGCTGATTGAATATTTGCCGGATTGGAGTCGGCAGATACATTCCAGTCTTTGGGTGTGTTTGGTATAAGGGAAAATGTTTTTCGTGGAAAATGTTTTTTTGGAAAACAAGTAGTAATCTTATTCATTTTTCGATATTTGGTATGCAAATTAAAAAGAAAATGACTTTTCAAGAGTATTCATAAATATTTTAAATATAACAAATATGAAGCCATAAACTTTCAAATCAACAACCTTCCGAACCCACAAATTTCATAAACTTTCAAACCGCTAAACTTTCAAAATCGCGGAATTTCGAACCCGTAAACTTTATAATTTCTAAACCCGTAAACTTCCAAACACATAAACCTCTGAACTCATAATTTTGGAACTTGTAAAATTTTGAACCTTTAAACCGATAAATAAAAAAATTAAAACTGAAAAATATATTTAAAAAATATATTTTTTAGGGG